CTCACAGAGTTTCTTGCTCTGGCTGGCTTTGAACCGTGATCCTCAGATCTCAGCCTCCTGAGTAGCTAGAATTACAGGTGTGAGCCGGCCTCTGTGAGTAAAAGGTTATAAATAGAGTTCTTTAAAAGTTCATCAAGTCTAGCACTCCGAGGCAGAAGCAGGAAGCTTGTGAGTTCAAGGCTAGCCTGGACTATCTAATGAAATTGCCTCAGAAACAAAGCTCATCATGGGCTATGGATGTAGCTCAACTGGCAGAGCACTGGCATAGCATACACAAAGCCTAGGTTCAAATCTCAGTAGCACACACACAAAAAACATTATATTATAAAATAGATTAATTTCTATATTAATCCATTGTACTGCCAATGAAATGCCAGGTTTTTAACTGTCCTTGCACTAGAGATCAATATTATTCTCATCTTTCTAGCTGATGAACAGAGGTAGTATGGTAGAACAAAGGCAGGGAAAGCATGCTCCCTTACCATACTTAGCTCAAGGTGAAGCATGCTTGTAAACCTGCTGCCAAGGAGAGATGCACAACCAGACTCATGAGTGGGTGGATTGTAGTCTGTTAAACTGCTAATGCTCAGCATTGGCAGTGCTAAGAGAATGATCCAATTAGGAGATTGTAGTGGCTTACTACCAAGCATATTAAATTAATCCATTTTAAAGGAAAAACTGTTTTTTGTTGGTCATGGGGCCTGAACTCTGGGCCTGGGTGCTGTCCTCAGCTCTTCAGCTCAAGGCTAGCACTTTACTGCTTGAGCCACAGCACCACTTCTGGTTTTTTCTGCTTATGTAGTGCTGAGGAATTGAACCCAGGGCCTCATGTATGCAAGGCAAGCACTCTACCACCAAGCCACCTTCCCAGCCCCCAAGGTAAAACTTTTAAAAGGTTTTGTTTTGTTGGTACTCTGGTTTGAACCCAGGGCCTCCTACTTGCTAGGCAGGAGCTCTACCACTTGAGCCACACTCTAGTTTCTTAAGAGTTTTGATACCATGATATCATTGGTTTGCATCATTTTGGATTAGAAAACAAAATTAAGAACATTAGTGAGAAAAGCTGAAGTTTTTAATACGCCATTTCAGTTTGCCTCCATCTATTCACTCCACTGCACCTCATTTGCCTTTTCTACTGAAATAGGTGACCCCCATGCCTCAATAGTACCGTTCTCACATCCCACCACCTCAGTGCTGGCCACCCTCGCAGCCCTTGCTGAGGCTTCAGCCCCCTTCGCCAGCTCACACAGAGGTAGGTAAGGGATAGCTGCTGGGTGATTTCCAGTCTTCTTTTGTTTTTAAATCTCCAGCAGATTTAATTTGCATGAAATATCAAAGAATTGTAGTTTAATTAAAAGAAGCTAGATAAAGGGATATGGAATCACTGACTCAATGAGAAAGAGATAGTATCAGAGAGTTGAATAACAAAGAATGACTTATTTCTTTGTATTTTTACAAAAAATTGATTTGCCGGGACTGGGAAGGTGGCTCAGTGGTAGAGTGCTTGCCTTGCTTGCATGCATGAGGCCCTGGGTTCGATTCCTCAGCACCACATAAGCAGAAAAAGCCAGAAGTAGGGCTGAGGCTCAAGTGGTGGAGCGCTAGCCTTGGGGTGAAGAGCTGAGGGACAGCGCCCAGGCCCAGAGTTCAGGCCCCTTGACCGATTAAAAAAAAAAAATTGATTTGCCTTGACTAGTAGTTTTGTATTGAAATGTTTTGTTTTAAATTCCTAGATTTTTTAAAGATAATCTGTGCTGTGTTTTGACTAAAACTATCTTAGAACCATTCAAAGTAGCAGTCTAGATAT